GAAGATGCTTTCTATATATCCACTAATTCAATGTTCTGTGGTCGGTTTTTTGGATAGACAAGGAAATGCTTTTAGAATAAGCAAATGTTGGCCTTAATGGACTAAGTGACTTGCCACGCTCACACAGCTGCTGCGTGGCCCTGGGATTTGCAGCAAGCAGGTCCCTCCACAGTCCACTCACTTACTGATTTCCTGCCAGCTGTAGTCACTTCTGATGGCCACCAAGTGAATCATGGTTAACTCTCCACTAAAACATGCATTTGAAGGATCACTGCTTTTCTCAATGGCAAGTATAAAGTTAATTATCATAGAAGGAGTTACTTAAAAATTCATGGGATTTTTTTGAACTTATCAGAGAGTATTCTTAACCTGTTAAGATTGGCTAACACTGGAAACTTATAATGTCAACATCATGGAGACTTTTGAAGGGGAAACAAGAAGACTCACTCTTTGAGGGCAGGAAAATCTCTTGGCACCAAGCACACAGTGGACAATCAAATTTGCTGAATGACTCATGGGGTTATTTTCAAGACATTTCTATTTTCTATTATGGAAAAACTTAAAACCTTACAAATGGATTCTACTTTAAAGGTGATCTTAAGAAAGTTACGTTTTCTACACCAGATCATTCAAATTTAACTGGGGTATAATAGTGTTTGTTCTCTCAAATGATGTTTACCTATAGAAATTAAGCAGCTTGTGAAAGAGCACGTATTACAAGTAAGAACTAAATTATCAACATAGAAATGTTAATATTCTTTCAAAAGTTCCTCAATTTAATAGCCTCATAATTTCACTCTCAATGTTCTGAGAAATAATTTGTTCTCCTAAGTGATTTCTTTGCATTCACAGGAATTTAAATTAGCATATTTAAATCAATAGGCATGCTTTTTAAAGCTACCTCCTTTACTTCTTTATAAGCTTATCATAATTGTTCCAAGAACAATTGTAAAGAAATAATAAGCATTATTTCTTCATAGCAGTGAACCACAGTAAATTACATAGAATATAGACTTAAAAGACCTAAAATTGTCCAAATCTCTAATGAAATGTAATTTAAACCAGTATCTTAGAATTGACTTTAAATAAATGACTAGGATAGTACTGTTTATCCTGAAGCTTACTACAAATTATCCAAATCTGGACTATGTCTAAAATGACACCTGAAGAAAAGTTATTCTATGCCTCCCACTAGACAATTTTAACATCTAAAAAGTAGTATAATGTTATCACAAATACTCAAACATTGATTAAATTATGATATGGCAATATAAACTCTAGCTAGTTATTATTAAGCTGCAATAATAATCTTGATTAACCTTAATACTTAGGCCTAGTTACAAAACTTCCTGTCTGATCACTGTATTCATAATGAAGAAACCTGACTAGTTTTATTCAAATTGAGCTATTATACATTTTTGCAAGGGTTACATAGATATGAAGTGTGATAATTAAAATTAAAATATTTTAGAAGAACCTAGAAATGCATATAGACCCATGATCTAATCTATGTTAGCTGCAAACTAGCAGTAAAAATAAAGAAATTGTATGTAAGGATTTATACACAGAAGTGCCTATAATAAGCATTCTTCACATTTACATTTGTTAGTGTGAGTAATCTTAAAATTGGTCAAAATCTAGACTTTGTTCATTTTTTTTCTGTATTTTTAGGGAAGGGTCTACAGGGTGTTCAAGGTTTCACTGCTAGATCGGACTCATAGTGATCCACCTGTTTACAGCTTTCCAAGTGCTGGGATTACAGGCAAGTACCACCACGACCAGTCTCAATCACAGTCTCAGCGTACCCTGGGGTTGGACCTGCAGGGCAGGACGCAGGGATTGAACCCCCAGCCCTTGCACCTGTTTGTAGTTGCTTTAATCCACTGAGCTACTTGATTGGCCCTTAGACTTTGCTCTAAGGGCCAATCAAATGATTATATAATCATTTTAAAATATTATTTTTATAGCTACTCTGTTAAGATAAAAATCAGTATCAAACCTTTTACCCCTTTCCCTGGTTTATTATAAATACACAAATATGAAATGAATGATTCATAAAATCGTTAGAATAAAACATTCTATGAGCTTAAAATGCAGATCATGGACTTATATGTCATATTTCATTGTTTGATTGACTACATCAGTTTTTCTGGTTCCCTTCAGACTAGACATAAGTACAAGAAAAATTCACTAAATTAATTCAAGTATCTCATAGTATCTTCCAAAGAAGAAACAGATCTTTTCTTTATCTGGTAGATTTTAAAGCAAACATTATAAAAGCTATTGAAAAAAATCTAAGAACAAAATCCAGAATTCTGCAAATTTTAGCCTAAAAAAATCACTTCTTCAAACCTGTCTTTCCTGGGGCCAGTGAGATAGCTCAGCAAACTAAAGTGCCTGCTTAGGCAAGCTTAGGCTAGTGTAGGGACTGCAGCGTGATCCCTGGCACCGTATGCCATGCCAGCCCCACCCCCAGGGCATACTGAGTGGACCACAGATTCTGGAGACATGGTGGCACACGCTTGTAATCCCAGCTCTGGAGAGGCTGAAAACAGGAGTATCACTATGAGTCTGGGCTGGATAGTGGGATCCTGTAGCAACTAAATACATTAAGAACAAACAAACATGACTTTTCTCACTTTCCTGCTATGACTCTTACAAAATTAAAGTCAAGTTATACTTGCCCATACTGTTTACTAAGTATTAACTTACATATAAAAATAAGTATCTAAGAGTTGTGTACAATATGCATTATGTTTCAATATTCATTTTAACTGAATTTATTCATGGCTAGATTTTCTACTTCATAAATACTAGAAATATAAAATATGCTTATAAATATATTTCTCCTTATAAATACTGTTTTGCTCCACTGGAATGAGTCAAGTTTTATGCATAAAAAAAAATCTCCACTTTCCACAATCCTCTCCTCCACAATCAGCTCCCATCCTCTCTTTTCATCCCATCCTATTTTTTTCATATCTACTCAGGTTCATTGTTGTTATGAATATCCCACCCTCTTCGTATCTACAATTACGGCATCTAGAGTTGAACTACCTACTCACTTTCCTTCTTATGGTTTGAAATTGAGTTCTTTGAATTCCACTATAGGTGAGCCATAAAAACTTTTGTCTTGTTAAGTCTTGGGTGAACAAGGGCTTACACAGTTTTGTCTTCCTCTGACACTTGATGTGAATTCACTGCAGGATTGTAAGAAATGTAAGTCCTACAAAGCAGTTCAAAAGGGTCCTGGTCACACATAAGGGGTAAAAAAATAGCACATTTCTAAACAACACATTCCCTATGGACACTCCCATTTTACTTACCTACTGTAAACTTTAGTTACCAAATTGTTGATGTGTTTGTCAATTTTGTATTTTCTATAATCTTCCAAGCCATCTTTAATAGCAATAATTGTAAGGACCACTACCAGAGGCAACATGGTAATTTCTTTTTGGAAAGCTTCTACCAATGGCACCCAGTTCAGGACAACTAGGAAGAGGAAATATAAATTGGCAGCCCTGAAACACACACAGAGACACATGTGAATAAATTAATTCAAGATAATAAGTAAAAAAGGCAAATGACTATTTTGTGTTTTCTTATAGGTTTGTATTAGTCAATCTTGTACATTACAAAATAGAGTAATAGTACAATCTAACAAACCTGAATGAACTATTTATTATCCTTCTAGACATTGGCTAGGATCCTTTAGTAAATATAAGGCTTTATGAAATATATAATAGGGCTTATTTGAGTGGATAGTATTGAGTTATGTAGCAACACAAGACCAAAAAAGTTCTTTTTAAAGGTTAAAAAAAATCAAAGCAAATTAATGGTTAATATATTTTAAGCCTCTATCATTTTGTATAACCAAACATTAACATTAGATTCAAACAAGACACAAAATAAGTGGGAAAGCCTGAGTGTTTTTATTTTCTTTGATGCTAACTCTTCTATTTCTTTTTAAACTATTCACCACAAGATTATTTAGAAATCTCATAGATTCCTCTATTTTATATATTCAAATTTTCCTTCATTGGAACATTCCTTTTATTCTTTGGAGTATTACTTTTAGTCATAAGATGTGTTCAAATGCCTTTTTTCTTAAAAGAAAATAATATATTGATCTACCCATACTTCTCTGTCATCTTCAATTCCTTTTACTCTGAAATTTTTTTCTTAACATTTTTTGCTATGTCTGTGGCTTGGATTATTTTCAAATGAACCAGATTCAAAGCTATACCCTGAGGGACTTTTCAAGTTGCTGATTTTTTTTTTAATCAAATGTAGTCATTACAACTTGCATCTAAATATCCCCCCAAAGCCTCATGTGGCAACAGGTAAGGCTTTTCAGAGGTGGCTGGATCTAAAGTGTGTGATAATAAATTAGTCCAATGATTGGTTTGACATAGTTGGAGTGTGGATAATGGGAAGGCCCAACCTGATGTGAATGCCTCTACCCTAAGGGTGTGAAGACTGGATAAACTATAAGGGACAGACAGAGAGAAAACATTCTCTCAGGTTTTCACAGAGAACAAATTGGTCAAGCAATGGCTGTGACTCATCCACATGGCTAACACTGACTGCAATACAGGGCTTCAGGGTAAATCCTGAGGGGATTTGACTGACCTTGGCAGATGTAAAAGTTACATTTCTTGTTATATAGGTCTTATTTTATCTTGTTCTTAACCATCCAGCAGAAAAGTATAAAAACAAGGTATACAAAGTAAAGCCATATTAATATGCTGAGCTGTAAAAGGCTCAGGTCAACAACTTCTGACATTGCCAGTCCTACGGATAACCTACTACTATTATGGACTACTGGACTATATTGGAATATTTTGCTTAATCCATGCACCTACAATATTAGAATGGCAATGGAATAGCCATTTCTGACAAAACTAAACAGAAAAAGGGGATCCAAATGAAGGACCATTTTGTATCTGTATATACAAAATAGGATAGCTATACAGCTACTTTCTCTTAATTCAATGAGAAGAAAGATTTGTACTAATAGCATTTGGATGGGATATCATGTCTACATCTTATACTATGAATAACCACTAAGAAGACAACAATATACAATGTATTAATTATTGAAACTGTCCTGTCAATCGGTTTTGAAACTGCCTCATTGCTATTTGTGTCTCAATAAAATTAATTTAAAAAAATATATAAGGCACAGAAAAGGGCTGCTGCCATCGCTTGCTGCTTCTGCAGCCTGCTGCCTTCTGCCTTTCATGAACTGTTCGTTCTCTATGATGCTCTTTGGCCAGGCATGCTGCCTTGGAGCCAGCTGATTATAGGCTGAAACCTGTACACACTGTGAGCTGAAATAAACTTGTCCTTTAACTTGGGACGCTGGTATTTTGTCTCAGCAACATGAAAAACTCACTAAAACTGTATGGATTGAAAAATCTATACATTTGGGACATAATTACCTATAGCACATAAATCCATTAATCCAACAAATTCAGATTTGCATTTTAACATAATCATCATTCAGTAAAAGCAAACAGAACATATACTGAAGGTATCCTGAGAATAAGTGTGGTAAGACAATGTATGCTGAGAATCTTCCTAGTCACACTAGCACCTCAAATATAGTATAAAAACTAACTAAGCTTCTTCTTATTCCTGTCTTTCCTTCTTGTGTCCATCACCCTAGTCATCAGAGCTGAACACGTTTATGACCTCTTTTTCCTACTTTCACTTAACTCCCCACATCTAATCCATAGTGTCCAGTACGGGTTATCCTTCCTATTATTCTTGTATTGTTCTAAACTTATCAGTGACAATTCAGGATGTATGTGCTGGCTTCTTACATGATATATATTTTTTTTGGAGGGGGACATCTTTATTTTGCCTCTATGCCTTGCCATCTGGCCTCCACATTGCTTCCACAGTGAAACAGACATACCCAGGTTATTCCTCTATTCAAAGCTACACTAGCAGCTTGGGATACCGATTTTTCATCCTGACTTAGAGATGCCTCTTGTAGCTTACACTAGTGTTTCCAACATTTTCCCTATTGGTCTCTAGTATGCGTCCTATATGTTATTAGAAAGGATCATTTCCAATGCTTCAAGCAAGCCTTCTGTGTCACTACTTCTATACTTTTACTCTACTCCTTCCCACTTCTAAAACAAGCACTGCCCGCACCTGTGCCTGAACTGCCTCACATGCCCTCCACGATTAAGTCAAAGATCACATCCCGGTCTACTGCTCCAGTAAGTGTCATGATTTCTCTGAGCTTCTGTTCTCATTAGCACATTATAGCACTAACCACAAGCACTATGGCTTTTCATCATTTGGCTACACATCTTATTTCCATGGCTAAACTATAGACTCCCTAAAGAAAAGAATAACAATTATACTTGCATACTAAAAGCCAAGGTCCTTGTGCTGCTACGTTAAACCATAGTCAGAGTTCCTTATCTATTATGATATAAAATAATATCTTCTCTGGTAAAGAGAAAGCATCTTAACAAATGTGAAGTGTTATATGAATATGAAGGATCATCAATCTACAGCAGAATTGGACCCTAATCAGCACTGATGATATCATTAGCCTTACACTAAAGTACAGATAATGTTAAGAAATGAAAAAAAAATTATGTACTCATGACAGTGATAAACAGTATTCTAAGATTTTGTTTAACAAAAAGGTACCTATGAAACTGTTCAAACAAATTTCTTGGCACAAAATTCAGAAGCGTGTATTTTGTTGTTCGTATTCGGTTATTCATGTACGTTCCAGAAAACTTGTCATACTCATCCTTGAAGGACTGGAGGTGAGGAATAACAATGCGGTGTTTTCCTGCCAGTTTAGGGCTATGGGTGGACTTTCCCCCACAGGCAAGCAGCGAGGAGTAGTCGTACAGCCTCCCGTCGTCTACCCTGGTTCTACTGCCCATCAGCCGTTGCCAGTGGTATCTGGCCCATTGAAGAGGCTCAGCCATGTCCAGGACTCAGTGAGATCCAGGCTGTGTAGGTGACCTGAAAGAAAACAAACAAAACACCAATTTCCTATAAACTTCTGGAAAGTTTCAAAAGAGAACAGAATTTTAATAATAATTTTATTCTAGCCCAAGTAAACATACAACCCATGATTCCATAGATAAGTGGAAAAGGAAAAGGTCTTTGAAACTATTTTAATCAAATCTTCATGAATGAAAGCAGGCATCTTCTGTCTATTGTCTAATCACCTATGCTACAAAAGACAGTGCATTAAAGGCCTTGCATCACTTGAAGTATGAGCCCATCCTGGCCTTAATATGTAACAAGTCTTTTAACTTCTGTACTCATCAGTTTTCCTGTCTTTGGCAAAAATGCCACATAGGAAATTGTCATGAGGATCAAATGCATACCATGTGAGTCATTCAGCGTAAGGTCTGAAAAGTGCCCAATGTGATCTGAGTAGATTGCAAATATGGTAAAATTTTATCCAGCTGTTTGTACATAAGGTGGTGGGCTCTTTCTCTCCCTGTCCAATATTCTTTCTTTGCCACATGTCTAACTTTGGCTAAGAGAAGACTTGCAAACAGGGCACAGAGGCTTGCAAATTGCTTCTGTGGGGGGCTTGCTCCCTCTCTTACTGCTTTGAGAAGCCTTCTGGCCACTACTATGAGCTCTGGCCCTCCCTTGGCCCAGCTGAGCTCAACCCAAATTGCCAAACTACCTATTTTTGAGTTGGTAAATATTTTATCAGCTAGCTTTGGATTGTTTGTTAGAAGAAAGTATTTAATTTACTCATTTTCAAATTTTTCTTATTTTCTAAGTCTTACAAGAATGTAAACAGTTTTATTAGCAAAGAGAGAAAAAAAGCCAACATTTGTAGACACATACATATTCTAAGAATTGCACAAAATGTTTTACACACACTATCTTGTTTAATATATACATCAATCCTCTGACACAAGGGCTAGTGAGATAGCTCAGAGGACTTAATGCCTGCTTAGGCAAGCACAAGGACCAGGGTTTGATTCCTGATCCTGTATGCCACACTGGCCCTGACCCCCGAGTGCGCTAAGCCAGCCACTGAGTCCAAGTGTGGTAGAGCATGCCTATAATCCCAGCTTTGGGGAGGTTGAAAACAGGAGTATCCCTATGAGTCCAAGCTGTGTAGTGAGACTCTGTACAAAATACATTAAAAAAAAATCCTCTGACACAGATGGCTAAGGCTGATTCAAACCACATCCTTCCAGCATGAGAGTCTTAACTGTAAATATGTTTCATTTATCTGTGTATCTAGAGGCCGGGACCTTAGCAGATTCCCCTTGAACATTTATCAACTGTGGTCATAGCCTGTCACCAAGTGGGTGGACAGTAAGATCTAGGATTTGATTTTTGTCCTTGCTTTACTAGTATCACTGTTTATTTATTTATTTTTAGGTGGATTTTTTTGTTTTGTTTTGTTTTGTTTTGTTTTTTTTTTTCCTGAAGGGTTCACTACAGCTCAAACTTGTAGTGATCCTCCTGCTTTCTGCTTCCCTAGTGCTGGGAATACAGGGGTGTGCCACTACACCCGGACTAGTATCATTGCTTTATTCTACTTATCTTGGGCTAGGATTTTCACTGCGAATGCTTATCTGATAAATCTGTGGATGTGTCCTTCTCATTAACAGAAGTTTCTCCATAAATCTGATTTGGGTGTCCATAGATTGTCCTGGACAAAATCAGGTTACATGTAGACACCACACTAGATTAGGAAAGCAATGATAAAGATTTAGATTGCATGCTCTAGGAGTTTAGGATTTAATGAGGTGATGGGCATGTAAATATTCCAATGTAACTCTAGGTACAGAGTGCTCTGTAAGGCATTTCAGTAGTTTGGGCAATTTATTTAAGCTTGTTTTTTTTTTTTATCTAAACAGAATTCTAAGTTTATAATGTGAATACTGAGTCATTTCTCTACAGTGTTATATTAATCCTCTAAGGACATTAAAATTGTATCCAGCTTCCATGGATCCAAAATGTTAAGCCTCAGCTAGTAGCACTAAAAATTGTGTCCAAGTGTCCTACTAATTCTAGTGAATCAATATGGCAAATAATCCATTCTCCCTAGTATGTGTATTTACATCAAGCCTTTAGCAACCCGAGCAAGTACTGTTTTGTGGCATCACTTTATTACTGTACGTATAAAATACAAGTTAAACTCAAATAACATCTTTAAAATCCATCAGATATTAAAATATTGTATACATATGAAGTAGAATACTACAAAAAAGTACATAGCCACTTTTAATAGGAAAGACAGCCCCCGGGGTACCTATAGTTGTGTCCGGATTCAGGCCCGTAACACAGGCACCAATTAAGAGGTCAGTCATATACAGACCCTATTACAAAGTCAGTCTTATCAGCTTTATACAAAGAATAAGAACAACAAAAAAATGAGTTCCATCTCTATCAGATCTCTGTCCTTTAGAGTTTGTCCTCTAAAATATTTACTCATGGGAAACTAAATCAATAACATGTGTTAGTCAGAGTAATGCTCGCTATCAGTTTAGCATAATTTTAAAATGTATACTTCTGAAATAAATTTGAAAAGCCCAGTTTCACTTTCAGTATTAAAAATAGCTTAATTATTGTCACTGACCATAGCTTAAATTACTAAATTAGCTCAAAACACATCCAAAACTCTCCCCAAGAAAGGAACTTAGGTCATGTTATATAAAGTAATCAATGGATAGCAGAGCAAACTAATTAATATAAATACTAAGAACTTCAGTGAATTGCACACCACCTCCATGAGGTGACCACTGTATCAAACGTCATGTGTTTAGAAGGCTGAAGTCACCATGATTTGGTCTTGTTTCTGGGAATGGCAAAAGGCAAGTTTTGGGCCGACCAAATAGCTCAGTGGATTAAAGCGCCTGCAGCAGGTGCAGGGGCTGCAGGCTCAAGGCCCAGGCCTGCCGTGCTGGCCCGCTCCCACCCCCGGGGCATGCTAAAATGTCAATTGAGACTGGATGTGGTGGCACAGTCTGTAATCCCAGGTGGATCACTATGAGTCCAAATCTAGTAGTGAGACACTGAACACCCTGTAGACCCTTCCCTAAAATACAAAAAATTAATAATAATAATAATAATAATAAAAGAGAAATTTTCACTAGCAATTAAATTCTTATTTAGATGTAAGGGTGCCTATTTCTCTACTGTTCATAGTCTCATACAACAGTTTAAATTTTCCCTGTCTCTTTAAATTTCAGAATATAATTCCTTGAGAATATAAACATAAGATTAATGCAACAAATATCAAACCTATTTGGGAAGTGATAACCTCTGATACTCCATGGTGCATCTAACAACTTCACACTAACAAAAATAATAGTGCATTCACACAGATAATCAGCAATCAGCTTTTCATTTCATAGGCCCCAGCAAGAATCATGTTTTCACACAAGTCACTCAGGAAGAATTATTCTATAACGACTAGAAGCATTTCATTGCTAGAGAATTTCTCTAGGTCTGCTTTCCCCGGTGCCTTTTGAGGATGTTCACAATTACACTAGGTTTCCTACTAATGCCCATACTGCTCTCTCCTTTCTTTTCTCCTTTTCATTCTGAATGAATCATGGTACAAATGAAGTAGTGACTGCCTCACTACCCGACACGACGCCTCCCATCCTCTTACAATGCCTCAAAGTGACTATTATATCAGATGATGGATGTAAACGGGAAAAAAGTACATTCAAGTGACCCAGAAGTAAAGACCAGGTCTGGAGGCCTAGAATAGATGACAATCTTTCACATTTCTGCTTTAAATTTAAATCTTGGGATAATGGATGTAACATAGTGGTAGAGCCCTCACCTATCATGTTCAAGGCCCTGGGCTCCATCCCAAAGACTATAAATAAATAAATAAATAAATAGTAAAATGCTAACCTTTTTATATAGAGGAGGAATGACCCACAATCGATGCCTTTCAAAATAGGTTAACTGTCACCCCAATGAGAAATATATTTTATAATGCAGCCAAATTTTGGAGATGATTAAATCCAGAATTCTCAAATCTGCAGCCTTTAACACTACATTCTATCCAATAAGGTAATATGTATCAAAATGCTGACAGTGTTTTAATTGTTATATAGCAAGTAAACATTTTAAGATGGAGATGCACTCATATAAAATATTGATAACTAGCTTTTCTTAAAAGAAAAAAAATATAAGTAGAATACTAAGTACACATTTTTGCACATTCTTTTTTTTTTTTTTTTTTGTGCCACTAGGGATGAATTTAGGACCTTGTGCCTGCCAGGCAACAAGCACTTATTCCACTGAGCTGTCTCCTTGACCCCACATTTTTACATTCTAACAAATGTCAAGAGCTTTCCTCTCTGGTCCTTGACTTCCGCTTTGCTTTCTGAAATTCACCTATTTTATTATATTATTATTATTATTATTATTAGGCACAGGGTCTCACTATGAAGTTTAGACTCATAGTGATCCTCCTGTCTCAGCCTCTCCAATGTTGGGATTACAGGCCTATGCCACCATTCCCAGTTCTGGGGCCATCATGGTGCACCTGGGATTCTGGGGCCCACACAGCACGTGGTACAGGGAATTGAACTAGGGACCATGTACTCTCCAGGCTGGCGCTTATACCACCAAGTTATCTCCCCAGGCCAATTCACCCATTTTAACACTTGAACATTATGCTCATCACTTTGAAATACTAGTTTTAAATGACATCTAATGAATGTATATTTGTAGTGTTCAGTGTGATATTTTCCTATATTGTATAGTAATCACATCATGCTAATCAATGTATGCATTGCCTTATCATCTCTTGGTGGTGAGAACATTATAAATTCTGTCTTCGAACTACACTGAAATATTCAATACATTACTAAGCATAACCACTCCACCGTGTAACAAAACATTAGAAGTTCTTTTTCCTCTCTACCTGTAACTATGCACCAACTGACCATTCTCCCCCTCCCCTCTCCCCTCTCCCCTTCTCAGCCTCAGCTCACCACTCTCTACTTCTATGAAAT